GGGGTTGGCCGTCGTGCAGCGCTTCAGGGTCTCGAAGGCGTCGTTGACCTTGCTGAGCCGCCGGCGCTCCCGCAGCGTGGCCGCCTTCCGCCGGTCCGCGTTGGTGGTCTTCCTCTTGCAGGCCTTGCAGGCCCAGAGCAGGCAGCGGCCCGCCTGGTGGTGCCCGCTGGGGGCGCGGACGTGCTCGTCGTCCTCCACCTCGGCGTGGTGATGGAGGTGCAGGAGGGAGGACGGGGAGGAGGAAGAGGAGGAGGAAGGGGAGGGTGAGGGCGAAGAGGAGGAGTCGTCCGGCTTCAGCAGGCCCACATGGACCAGCCGCGGGTCCAGGTCCTCGAAGAAGTGCATGTCGCTGGTGTTGAAGCACGGGTCGTCATAAAAGTCATCGGCGGCGGGGATGGGGAAAGAGATATCCGACAGCTCCATGGTTCAGTCCCAAAAACACACCACAGAAGAAGAAAAATCCAGTGACAGAGACAGAAGCGTCTTCAGGCCAAAATCAAAACTGCTTTTAGGAAAGAAGAAGAAGAGGAGGAAGAAGAGGCGGGACGCTGCGGAGCGGCTCTGTGTTTTCGGGGGAATGTAGAGTCCTGTCACACTGTTCTGTCTCTCAGCTGTTGACCTGGATCAACTTATACCTGGGAATCAGCAGGGGGCGGGGTCAGGACCGTGATGACCACCAGGGTCTGACCAATCAGCTGGCAGCAGGAGGGGTTTACAACTTCACGGTAATTAGTGTACAATTACCCCTAACAGAGCAGTAACAGCAGGGTGATATACTGCTGCACACAGCGGGGGGCCAACACACACACACACACACACACACACACACACACACACACACACACAGACAAACTAAAGTATTTAAATCATAGAATATCTTAAAGTGGTGACTTTTATTGCGTCATATTGTATTTCGTTTATGATGTTCATCTGTAAATGTTGTTTTTGTATTAATGCAATTCATACTGAGTTTACTTATAAAAAAANCTGAGTTTACTTATAAATAAATAAATAAATAAATAAATAAATAAATAAATAAATGACAATAAAATGGACTGCATGTCTTGCAGCACAGAGTGATGGGACCAGTTTGGAAAAAGAGAATTTTAAAAGCAGAAGGACAGAAATTAAAAATGTAATCAGAGGCCTGATCAAAATAATGTTTTTAATAAGTAAAGAAAAAACGAATTAAAAGGAAACAAATTTGTTTTGAACAAACGAAATTAAAGGTATGATAAAATCATGCATTAAAATGTGAAACTGAAGCTCAAATAAAAGCCAGTCTAATTTGTAATAAAACGAAATTTATTTGCCTCCTAGAATGAATAAAGTAAAGAAAGTTTCAACAGAAGGGGAAACATGTATTTTCTGAATCAAAGCAGAAAACAGTAAAATGGGAAATCTGGATCTTATTACATTTTATTTCACCTGCAAGCAAACTATAAAAGTAATCGAATTAAGGCAAAAAATATTATTAAAATGTGTTGTTTGGTCGCATTTAGAGATAATTTTTTTTTTTTAATTACTATCAAACAGGTCCTTCAGCAGGAGTTTGTTTTCTATATAGAGCTGACTTTTATTTTTATATGTAAAGAAAAAGAAATCAAAAAACAAAGAATACAAAATAAAAATAATATATATTTCTTTTGTTTTATTATTTTTTCAAGATATTTTATTTAGTTTTTAATTTTAATAACAACAAAAAAGAGCCCATCACAGACCTTATGGGGTTGAAAGAAGCACACAATCACAGCAGCATCGCATGAAGGCAAACACATGACATGGGAAGTCATTGCATAAAGGTCACAACGCTTAAATAAATGTTTTATATTTATTTTATGGATATAAAAATAATCAAGACACAGAAAGAATTCATACACGACTCGGACACCGCTTTTTTAAGAGTGTAAAAACTGCACCAAAGTGTGAACTCAGGTTTAAAGTGATTTTGAGAGTTTATTTTTGAAGGACAGATTCACTTGACTTCTCCTCCTCTTCCTCCTCTTCCTCCTGCAGCCCTCCTCATCACCGCACCGACTCCATCCAGAAATATTCAAACGCAGATTATTGATTTGACTCAAACATGCAGCAGTTCACATCACTGCAGCTGGAGGGCGCTGCAGAGCTCAGAACTCTCCCATCAGCCCGCTGCAGCTCCAACACTTGACGGGTTGCTGTGCCCTGAGCCTCGTCTCGCAGGCTGTGAACTAACTACCCATCCACCTCCAGCCTGTCAGAGGGGACAGATGGTGAGGAGCTGGACTCTGTGGCTGCTGCAAGTGTTTGAGACAAATATTCAAAGCCTCTGCTCAAAGGATTATCACGATCACTCCAAAAATGATTGACAGGTCTTTTAATACAAGACTCCGACACCTACGTGCATGTTGGTAATGTTTTCAGATGCTATTAGAGGTCTGTCTGTGTGAGTGTAATGTTTCTCAACAAGAGTTAAACAAACTTAAATAAAACTAATAATATTTCAGAGGTCAAAGTCTAAAATGATGTTGTATATGTTCATTTTCACTTTATGTGCTCAAAAATGCAGAATGATCCTTTAAACTCACTGAGTTTAAAGGAAGTTGTGGATCAATATTTTTAAAACGTGACACAGAGCACTGATGTGGGAAAAACTGAGAGCCGCAAAACTATTTTTCTAACTTCAACTTTATTACAAAGTGCAAACAAATCAAAACCAAACCAGTGACTATCACGTCTCCTCCTTCACAGTCAAACTGTCTCTGAACCATACAGATATTGAATATATGGTTAATAAATGATCAAAATAAAATCACATTTATATGTTGGAATACACAAGTAGCAGTTTACTGGTGGGGAATAATAAAATACTTACAAATATTTTATACTTGTAAATGATTTGGTCAAACTATTTCATAGGCTGGTTATTGAACATTAATATTTCTTTGGTACCATCCAAAATATGTCTGTTTATTAATAAACTACTGTTGTTGGCATTGATTTTTGTCTCAGATTTGTACTCAAATCAAGTTCTGTAGAAAAAAATGTGTTAAATTCCTCAAAGATATTTAAAAAAATACAGTTTTAATACAAAATTTTTTTATTATTTGAAGGTGCTTTTTCCTCTTTCTGTGAACACGTTTGGCTCAGTTTCGCCCTGCTTTCAGTCTCTGTGCTAAGCTCAGCCTAACACGGCCTCGATGGCCTCGATCTGCCTTTTTAACAAAGTGTTCATCTGCTTGCACTTTATATTTACTTCTATCCTCCTGAGACCTGAACTTTTGTTAGGTTTGCATTTTTAATGTCTCCTCGCTATTTAAGATCAGTAGGACCTGATAAGTATAAAAAACTAAACATTGTCAACAATAATAAAGTCCCAGCGTCCTCAGACGAGTACTTCCTAATCAACAGCGTCTTATTGTCTTACTGTTGCTTAAATTGCTAAAAAGTTGTTGACATATCAAACTACAAATATTATTAATTATTAATAAACAAGTTTCAGTCATAACATGTGATCAGGTTTTAGACCTTGTCCTCTTTTGTGTCGGGATCGGCTGCAGACTGACTTGACAGAGATGGCTGCCATCTTGTCTTTACATGGATTAGTGTGCTGTGCTCTTACTGCCACTAGATGGCACAAAAAAGTGTCCATTAACGAGGACAACAGGTCTGAGTGAAGCAGAATGAAGTGTACGGTCCAATAAACCCAAAATGTGACGTCCTCATGAGGACACAGGGTCTCAGGAGGAACATAGTGAACATAAAAGAGACAAAAACGTGCCTCAAATTCACAACAAGAGTGAATTGAGCACTGTTGGCTGTGTTTCAAGATATTAAAGATATATTATTTAAAGAACTTTCACCAGTTCAGATCAGACAGCTTTGGAGTTGTTTAAGGGGCCGACACATGCCGTGTTTTTTGCGCCTTCATATTCATTGTTTTTTAAGTAGACACATGTCAGGCACGCTCAAACGCCAGAGCAACACACGCACGTTCCCTAGCACCTAATTTTCAGAGCATGACGGCTGCCCCCCCGAGAAACACAGCTCAACTTTTGGAACGCAGCAGCGTGCGCCACATGTCATGTGACAAGGACCAACCAATCACAGCTGACAGATATCTTACCCCTGTAAACATCGGTCTGTGAGTCAGACTCAGGATTTTAGGTCAACAGGATGTACGATGCTTGTTAAGGTTGTTAAGGCAGCCTCAGATGCAACCTGCTGCCACAAGAGCAGCACCCAGCGCCTAAACTCTCAAGACAGATTCTGCAATTTACATTGTAGAATCTGTCGGCAGCCCTGTGTGAAAGACGACTAGAGAGAGGGAGAGGGCGGGGCTTTGAGTTTGAACGATGCTATGCTTTAGCCAATCACAATTGAGGGGGCGTGGCCGAGACGTGCAGGTGTCCCCAGGAAATGTGTACCTACAAAAACAGAAAGCTCTGCATCCATGGTGATGTGAATTTTTTTTTTTTTTTCCAGCGGATGTCTTAGTTACAACATGATTGAGCTAACTGGAGTAGTTTCATGTCGTATCCAACAACGGGAGGCTTTTAACAGATGACGTCCTGATGTTAGCTTTGCTGCTGCTGTTAGCTGTCCCTGTCAGCTGCAGCAACTAGACATCGTGATTTTCCATAACTGAATAAATACCACACATAGCAACACAAAACTGCTTTGCTAGCTCACTCATGTTGTAACTAAGATATCCGCTGGAAAAGATATTTTATTCACGGACTGTTTATTGAGTTACTGAGTTATTACAGACACCACTAATGGGGCTAACAGCTAAAGGTTAGCCCAGCTAATCTACGATAACCATGTTATTAATTACAAAATGTGCACACAGAAATAGTAACGTTTGTTCAATCATTGTGTTTATAGACTTTACAAACATCAGATTAGTCTAAACGGTGATACAGTGACGTGAAAAATGTGAGATATAGCTAAACTCTGCTGGTTTTCTACCCTAAGTATTTGTAAACAACAAGGCGATTCCCTGGGGGCACCGCCGGAAGTGAAGGGGTTGAGCGATCCCCGAGGCCCCTGCACTTCCGTTAGTCGAAAAACTCTGGGCAGTGCCTCCAGAGGTAAAGGAACAAAAGAAAAATCCGTTTTTTTTTTGTTTTTTTTAACCGATGGATCTCCAGATTGCCCAACGCCTGACCTTACGTTTTTCAGGCAGTTAAAGACACAGCATGTGTGCGGCGCCTAAGGTGCTTTAATAGAGCTAGGCTAACAGTTTCTCCCTGCTTTCAGTATTTGTGCTAAGCTCGGCTACACGTCCTCAGGTGCTTTAATTCAAATGTGCTTCCACACCTGCAGTGACAAATATAACAATTATAAAAAACGTGTTACATGGTGCTGACAGGTCACAACTCTCCAGCTAGCTAACTGTGCTCTGAATTTTAGTTCATGGAAAATATTAAAATATTTCTTTTGAAAAACATTTCAGACTGTAACTCAGATAGCTTTCATGTTGCTGGAGAGTATTTTTTCTTGAGGCTAACACTTTCCCCTGGCTCTCAGTCTTTGTGCTAAGCTAAGCTAAGCTAACACGTCCTGGACACCTCAGATGCTTTATTTCAAAATGTGCTTCTTCACTCACAGTGACAAGTATTGACTCATTTCATAATTCTAAAAACATTTTATGCGGTGTGAGAAGGTCGCAACTTTCCAGCTAGCTAACTGTTAGCTGCTGTTTGACTGTTGCTAACTGTTAGCTGCTGTTTGACTGTTGCTAGCTGTTCTGAATGGAAATGGTAATTCATGGAAAATATTACAATATTTATTGGAAACATTTCAAAATGTAAAATCAGACTTTTGAGTTGCTGGATGCTTGAGGCTAACAGTTTCCCTCTGCTTCCAGTCTTTGTGCTAAGCTATGCTAAACACGTATTTCTGTACTGGAGGCAGTGAAGTGACACTAACATCTGTCTGGACTCTGGACACTGCTAACAAGCTAATTTGCCAAAATGTCACTTTGGTCATTTGGAGAAGATCCTGAGTTTTAGCTTCTACAAAAGGGAATTGAACTCAGAGGGGAGATTCATTTCTAGTCAATCAATACTTCCTCTGACTGACTCCGACCGATTATCTGCTCAGCTCCTCCTGCAGCTCGTTCAGGATGTACTCCCCAAATCCCCCCGTCTGGTCGTTGGTGCAGCCCACCCTGCGGGCGCTGGTGAGCAGGTCTCCCAGCAGTTTGAGGCGGTCTACCCGCGGCGTCAGAAAATCACTCTTCACGATGCTGGCAGTGTGCGGATCTCCGTGGTTACGGGCCAGCTGGCTCAGCTCGACCATGACGGCGGCTTCCTCCTTCAGCTGGAGCAGCAGGAGCTCCAGAGCCGGCAGGACGGCGCAGACGGCCTCACAGTTTGGCTTCTGAGAATCAAAGACATTTGATTAGTTAGAGAATAAAGTACAGTAAAGACACCACCGACAACATGTGAGCTGTCTGTCTGTCAAACAGTTGTATGAACATATAAACGACATCTGATTCAGGGGCCAAACTTTAATTTGATAGAATCAAATGGGGCGTGAAGTGAAACTAAATCAAACTGAGGCGATCAGTAACTGTGAGGCGTCGTGTCGTTGAAGTACACGCCACTTTGAGAGACGGATAACAAGGTGTCCCAAACTGCTGCTGACTGGGCCCCGGGGCCTCAGCCCTGAAACTATTTTACACGACTCATAAACCTGGGCCGGCGGTCGGAGGCCACGCTGCGACGCGCCAACGCCACCGCCGCTGATGCCGCTCAGCCATCTGGAAACGCCATCAGCACCACCGTCCCTCTGCTGCAGCATTAATCTCGCCAATTTTCCGGAACTCAGGGGAGGAAATGTACACCCTGACCGGCTGTAGGCCAGAGCCGGGGGCCAGGTCTCCAGGGGTGTAACCTCCCTCCTCCCCCATCCCCAACCCCTCCTCCGTCCATCCGTCCCTCCGATCACTGACACAGAATAAAGAGCTTCGTTCCAAAATGAGATCTCTGAAATTTGAAATTAAAGCAGCAACACGGAGAGATGGAGACGACACCTGCTCTGACAAAATGAAAGATAGCACAGGAGGAGAGATAAATCCTCCTGCTGCGACGTATCGGGAGGAACGCGAGGAGTAAAACGAGAACGCTGTTACAGACTGAAGCGTCTCTGTCTCACAGATAAAGTTCAGATCATAAATTTTGTTTCAAAATGGATCCACAAATCAGCTCTTCACAGCGGATCATCTAAACGCCCCTCAGGACCCTCGAGGGTTCAGCAACCCTCCCCCACTCTGCTGAAGTGTCTCTGGGCGACAAACGCTCTTGACCCTGACCTCTGACCTCTGACTGACTTCTCTGTGTCTCAAGTACTGTGCTTCAGTACAACTTTAACATACTTACTTCTACCTTTACTACAGAAGGAAACATTGCTCTTTTCACTGCACCACATTTATCTGACAGCTGGCATTACTGGTTACTTTTCAGTTTCAGCATGTTTATATTAAAATAAATGATGTAGTTTACAACCCAAGAGTGTAATAAGTAGTTAAAATCAGCTCCATCTCAACCAACTAAAACACAATCTTTAGTCCAATAATGCAACACGGAGAAAGCAACCATTTCACCAAACTCTGCGTCTTCTTTTGATATATAACATTTTACTGAGAATACCTGCACATTCTGTCTTTGATTTTTGAGGATTTTACTTGTGACAAAGTGTTTTTACATTGTGGTTTAACAGAAAAAATAAAGAGGGATAACAACAGTTATTCAAACTAGAATTATGTGGTCGTATGCTCACAAACCAAACCAGTCAAGCCAGAAAAGTGTTTTATGCAGAAACTTATGATGTCACAGTGAAGTTGACCTTTGACCTTTTGGATATACAATGTCATCACTTCATTATTTTATCCAGTTAGATATGTGTGTGACGTTTTGCCAAAATTAGTGTATGAATTCTTGAGTGGCCAAAAACATGTTTTCTGGGGTGACAGTGACCTTTGACCTTCGACCACCAAATTCCAATCAGGTCATTCTTGAGTCCAAGTGGACTTTTGTGCCAAATCTGAGAAAGGACAGCAGAGGAGACACCTGCACACCAGTACAACTGGGCTGGACAGCCACAACAAAGGTTCACAGGCTGAGATCAAAGCAAAAAAAAGTCAATTTATTGAGAACATCTGTGCACAAACAGCAGCAAACGTTTCACCCCTTAACTATAATCAGTGCCTGCTGTCCAGCCCAGTTGTTGGTGTGCAGGTGTCTCCTCTGCTGTCCTGCCTTGGTTGTCCATTGAACCTTACAGCAGCCCTGTGACCATACCAAATCTGAGGAAATTCCCTCGAAGCCTTCTTGAGATATCACATTCACAAGAATGCAACGGACGCAAGGTCACAGTGAGCCTGACCTTTGACCACCAAATTCTAATCAGTTCATCCTTGAATCAAAGTGGACGTTTGTGCCAAATCCAAAGGATTTCCCTCAGGGTGTTGTTGAGATCACGCATTAAGGAAAATGAGACAGATGCGAGGTCACAGTGACCTTTGACCATCAAACCTTATCAGTTCAATGTTGAGTTAAGGTGAACGTTTGTGCCAAATATGAACAAATTCCCTAAAGGTGTTGCCTTTGTCTATCACCAGCATGAGTCCGAATCATCTAACAAGATCACAGCGGACATTTTATACTTTTAATACTTAACTACATTTTACTGTTTGTACTTACTCACACCTAAGTAACATTTTCAATGCAGGACTGTTACATGTAATGGAGTATTTTTACAGTGAAGTATTTGTACTTTTACCAAAGTAAAGAATCTGATTACTTCTTCTACCAATGAAAAAGACAATGTTTTTTAATAAAGAGTTTTAACCTGGATGTCTTTGCCACAGTAGCTTCCCCCTCTCTCAGCCAGGTAGCCCAGCATGGCCTCGGCCTCCTCCTCCTGCTTCAGCGCCTCCTGCTGGAAGAAAGAGGTGACGCGGGGCAGAGCGACATCGTCCCGTTCAAACACGCTGGCCTGCAGCAGACAAAAGGAAAGTCATACATTAGAATAAAAAAGATTACACAGAGTGGAGTGAAGAAGACCCACTGAACACATCATGATTGTGTCTTAGGGTCCCCTACTCAACAGCACAGTGTCAACACTTTAAGGTTAATTATCTGTAAGTATAAACCAGGGATGCATACTGGATTCAGAATTGGCTCATCTGAATAAAAACTGCTTGTCAGCCAACAAAGTCTTCCTGATTTGTGTCAGCGTTGTGCGGCTAACTGCACATGCTCAGTAGCATTTTAACCTCTGGCCATTCGGCCCACAGAGTTTACATCATGATGATGTCATACACATAAAAATCTGGTAGTTTTGACAATATAAAAAACTTCTTGTTTTAAGAATAATAATTGAATACCTGTTTTCAGATTAAGGTTCGTTATCAACAGTTTTATCTCTTATAATGGTGATGTGTGGTTAGAGTGCTTTAAGGATGTAGTCACAGTTTCCATCGATCAGATCTGCGACTGATCAATTATCAACCCCACAACATAGAACTCCACAAACTCAAAGAAGATTTTCACCTGAGCTGCGTTCATGGAATCGCCAGCAACAACCACACATAGATTCTAATGCTGTGGGAAACACTGCTTTTGGTGGCACAATCACAAACAACCCAGTCTCACTCCGAAGCCGTCAGAATCGGCCCTTGGGCAGTGACTTGTGGCGTCAAACACTGACAAAAAAGGCCGTCCTTTAACGTCGGCATGATACGCGGCCAGTCGCAGTTAGTATAAAGGCACTCAGTGGCATCGGCGGAAACGCACTGGGCCAAGAAAGGTGGTGAAAATCCAAGTAGGGCGAGAGGTATGGTGGATGGGTCCAACAAAAACAGACTTTCACCCAGGAGAGAGGTGTTCGGTCCCGTAAGATATTAAAGCCAAACCCTGTTCTTTTCTCCTGAACCCAACAGTGCTTTTGTTGTTGGAGGGGAAAAAAAAGTCAATTTGCGCTGTTGTACCGACGTAGTGCTTTTATTTTGAAAGAGACTGTATCAAACTGTACATTTCCTGTGAAAACAGAAGTGTATTTTGAAAACAGACAATGCATGTAACAGGCTGAAGTTGACACGGCGTCCCAGAACGTCAACAACCAACACACCCAGGGTACCTTGGACGTCATATGTGGACGTGGAAAGTCCATGACCAAACGTGGACATGTGACGAGGTCACAGTGAGGATGAGTTGGCAGGAAATGCAGCAATGTCTCTGTAAAAAACAACAGGTTTTGTTGTCTGTTTGGTCTGCAGGTGGGCAGACATGTCGCCTGGGTGACGCCATCCCCTCCACCTCACAGTGACAAAGTCAGCTCATACACTGCGTCACTTTACAAACATTGATATGATATGAAACGTACTCATGTTACATGTTCATGGTTTGCAGAAATGTACAATGGCAACATGTTCTCTTGGTGACTGGACTGGTTCAACAGTAAACATGGATGTGATCACAGCCTTCAGTGTTCCTCCTCTTGCAGCATTAATACAATTAATACTTTTGATCTAGATCCTCACAGTACTTATGATGTATTTGATAATTATGTCTGTTGATGCACTTGTTTCTGTGTGTGACTTTAAAGTGTATAAAGTGGGTTTTTCGACTTTAAATTAATTTAATTTTTTTAAAGAACTTATAAAACATCCTACATGTGTTAATTCAGGTCATGTCCATCAGCTAGCCTCCCAGAACACACCCAGAGGACCTCAGTGTCCTTCAGGGAACCTTCAGCTCTGACGAATAAACACTCCAGAGATTTAATTATTGACGTCCTGTCTGAGATCTTACAGCCACACACAGATCAGAGCTCCATGCTGAATGCTTGTGTCTCCTACCAGAGCCTGCAGCCGGTACACTCCGTCCAACAGCAGGCTGCTCACCCCGCACAGAGCCTCCTCCACAGCGGCCTGCAGGTTGTGTCTGGCCCGGCTGCAGCCCGCGGAGCTCCGGTGCGCTCTGCACAGCGGCAGGCTGCTCTTCAGCCTCTTCTCTGCGGGCTCAGTCATGTCTCAGCCCCGTCACTGATCCAGGAGAGGAAGCACAGTCCGGACACCTTCACCGCAGAGGTGAATTACAGGTGATCAACTGTCCGATTGTAATAAACGCGTCCTCTTCCTCTTCAGCCGACACGACCCGTCAACACAGGATAAATTTAGCCAGCGTGGATCAACTGTTTCCCGGTCAGCTGCTCAAGTTCATCCGGTGCGTTTGAGCTCAGAGCTGCTGCCATAAAAAAAAAGTGTTACAAGACAATAATAATCATATGAACATGATGCAGTCAGTCATTATGCCTTTATGTTCTTTCTACATTGAACATCATGAAGATGATCTGACAGCATGAGGAAGTTTATTTTGTAAAACTGAGAATTGTATTTCCTCTTCATCATGATGACTCCAGAGTTCACGTTAAAGAGCTTAACTGAAGGATCATCTGCAATAAGCTGCTTCATTAATAACAGGTTTACTCTAATCTATACGTCAGTGAAGAACACTGCTGGAAGAAGAACTCAGAGTACCAACACCACAATAGCGAAATAAACTTTATTCATATTTCACCTTTCATACAAGAAATGCAGAAAGTAGACAACCAAGGCAATTCTATATAAAAGGACATTTAATACAGTTTAAAACCAGTAAAAAAATAAAATAAAATCTTAGAACTGTGAAACCATAAATCATAAAATCAAGTGAGACACAACATTTTAAGAGTTGCAGCAGTGTGAAGCGTTAAAAGAGACTTTCGAACATTAGGCATCAGAAAAGTCAGAGCGAGTTAAAGTCTAAAGTGAACAGATACTGTATGTCTTCAGCTTCCTTCTAAAAACATTTAGCGAGCTAGCCTCTCTGATATCTGCAGCTAGTGTGTTCCATATCTTTGGGGCGTCACTGACAAAGGCTGCATCCTCGATCTGCTTCAGTCTGTACAAACCAGCATCAGATGATCGCAGTGTTCTTGGAGGCTAATAGTCAACAAGGGAGTTAGCGATGTAGCTCGGTCCCAGCCCATGTAGGTCTCCTTATATACAAGGAGGAGGAGCTTAAAATCAATTCTAAATGTAACAGGAAGTCAGTGCAGAGCAGCTCAGACTGGCCTCATGTGCTCGCTCCTCTTGGTTCTGGTTTGTAGCTGCAGAGTTTCAATCAGCTGAAGTCTCTCAGTGGTGTTTTTTGGGAGGTTAGTAAAAAGTGTGTTACTGTGGTCGAGTCAGCTTGAAATAAAGACATGACAGGTTACAAGTTGTATTACAAGTAAAAGGTTTGCAAAAATTATTGGCAATATCATTACCTAATAATCTGACTTATTCTGGTAAAAAGAGAATTTCAGATTTGTTTGTACATTGTGCGGGTGAGTCGTCTGGTGGGTTCCATAACGTTTCGCCATCTTGAGAATACACCCGCCAGCGAGGGACATACAGCCCCGCCTTAGGCCAGTGCTGCATGACTGAGAAGCCAAAGGAGAGGATCAAGAGGCGCTTCACTACGACCCCAGCACTACTGCAGCATAACACAGTCCCACTCTCTGAGCATAATGCAGCATCATGCACATGCAGCATCACGGGAGACGCAATCCTCGTCACCAAGAAAGCACAAAGGGAATCAAAAAGGCAACGTGAGCAGTGAATTCAAAAAACGAGGGTCAACATCGGGGCAGCCTTTCCCAGGTGGAGAGAGCTGCTGAAGGACAAAGGTAATGCAGTCACAGGCCAGTGATGTGAGGAGAGGGATGAGGTGTGTGAGGTTGAGCCACATGTCAGTTGTCAAAAGACAAGACGTGATTGGTTTGTTTGGATTTACACCCGCCCCAACATTCCTACACTGTGAACACAGCCAGCATGGTGAGGTCACGTGTGTGTGTGTAGCAGCCTGAATGAATACTCCATGACATGGTTTCATCAATGTTATCATAGCTTTTTGGTCCACAGCAGCTACCGTAGTTGCAATACGCGTTTGAAACAGTGAGGCGCGAGAGTGCGCTATGTGTTTGAATGCAATATATGATTTCAACACTAGATGGCAGACATTCCTGCACACTGTGAAAAGTGCAGATGTTTTAACAACAAAATGAACTTAAAGTATCACAGCGAAAGTACTCGGTTCGTCCCTGTTGCTGACACGTTACTGTGTATTATATTATTAGATAGTTAATACTGGTGCATTAATATTAGAGCAGCATGTTACTGCTGTAGCTGCTGGAGGTGGAGCTGGTATGAGCTAGTCCAGTGGCTCCTAACTGAGGGATAGGACACAAAAAGCATTACTTTATCTAATCTTTTATTTCTTATGAAATACAGGGCTCAAACTCTTATTTAGATGAAACCATGTGAGAAATTTAGTGGCTCAAAAAGGGAAAAAGCCAGCACTCTCAAATGTCCTTTTAGTTCAGTTTAATAAACCAGCTTGGATGGCAGCACCAGTACACTGACGTTTCGACAGCAAGGTCTTCTTCAGTGTGACACACTGAAGAAGACCTTGCTGTCGAAACGTGCAGCATCACCTGGTGGAAGTTGAGTAACCTCCTGCAGCAAGCCCATAATGTGTTACAACGAGGTCCAGCCCAGGTGATTACTGAGCTGTCTGAGGGCCCAGGAGGGTCTGAGGGGGTTGTGTCAAGGGTGCGGGGTCCTGTTGACCCTGGGGGTGCTCCAGCCTGAGAGTCGTCCTTTCTTCCCTGCTGGACCAGCTGACCCCCCGGGGAGCAGCCAGCCCCTCCCGTCACTCATCCTGCAACAGGAGAGGAGGAAGAACGGGAGGTCGACTGTGACCCCGGAGAGACTACTGATGATCAGCTGATCAGTGACACAGAGAGGGACAGACCACATGATGATAACATGACGATCAGTTAAACTGGACTCAAACCTCAGTGGTTGGTTTTTGGAGCAATTCTCAGTTTAACTGTATGAGATTCAAATATAATTATAATTATGTTGATAATGTGAGTAAACACAGCTTCATAACATATTTGGGCTTCAGATGTCAGGACGCTTTGATTCATGACCCTGTGGAGGTCGACCATCGCTGCAACCCCCCACAATGCTACTGTGACACACACACACACACACACACACGCACACACACACACACACACACACACACACACACAGGGCTGTCTGTGTGTTGGACGTGCAGCTGTCAACACACACTCGGAGCTCCACTCAGACACGGTGTTGTTGTTGTTGTTGTTGTTGTTGTTGTTGTTGTTGTTGTTGTTGTCCAGCTGGACTCTCTGTACACACACAGCCTCTGAGAGTCACACTTCAGTGAGTACAGATAGTACATACAGTTTGTTAATCATTCAAATATTAAAATACTGTGACGCAGTATGAAGGTATTTTCTGTCTCTATCACAGAGGTGACAGAGGGAATTTGACAGGAAACGATTGTAGCGATCAGAGAAAGGACATGTGACAAAGATCGGACTCAAACTGGAGACGTCACAGTTCGTGATCAGTGCTGTTTTTCAGTGCCAGTTCAGTTTTTCTTTTAGACTCAGCGGAAGAAGCCTATGAAAGAAAAAAGCTTAGATATGCAGACTTAGGAGCAGAAGCTGAGCAGCGAGGATGGAAGACTAGGATTTGTCCAGTGGAAGTGGGGTGTAGGGGATTCATAGCAAGATCAACTGTCTCACTCCTGGGGGAACTCGGAGTGCGGGGACAGAGTTTGAGGAAGACAGTGAGGGAAATGTCAGATGAAGCAATTAAATGTAGCCAGTTTATCTATTACAGAAGAAATAATTCCACTTCCTCTCAGGAGGAAATCCAGGAAGAGGAAGGTTATTTAAGTGTGGGAGTGGCCTATTTGAATCCATTTTGTTTGAGGCCATGCTGCAAGGTGAGTGTGTTTGCTGATCCCGTGAGTTAATCTGTTTCCTTTAACGTTAGCTTATATTGTAGTTATGCTATGTAGCGTGTGAAATAGAGTGTGGTGAATGTGCTAGGAAAGGTAGTATCAGCACTGTCTCTACCTGGAGCTCGCATGTACGGAGCCTGGGTTTGGTTGAAGGTGGCGGTGCTGTTTGGGCTGAGAAAGCCATGTGTAAGTAAGGTAAAGGAGGTTGTTGGGTTGGTGTGGGGAGCAGTGAGACCTCGCATTAGGGGAGTGTCTCTGGGACGCCAGAGATCACTGTCTAGCCTCCTGGAGGTGTCGTGGGACCAACTAGACGAAACACTGGTGAAAGGAGGTTCCCACCCGATGACCCCAAAGACATGTTAGTTATCACTGCTCATTGGTCTGTATAGTTAAGCCTTGCCATATTAGCTTATCATAGGGCTTAGGTTATTCACTGAGTGTTGATCCTTTCTCTAGAGCACAAACTTCTTGTGTTTATTTGAACTAATAACCCATTTGATGTGAGAAGTAGCTGGCCCCCAGGTATTGTCACATTTTCTAATCAAAAAAGTTTGGTAACTGCTGATGTATGTGCTTTCAAGCTAAGCGTAAGATGAGCATATTGATTCCACTCTCATATTTGTGCGATAAATATGGCACTACAGCCATGGATGGTTTACTGAATGGGCCTGACAGGCACAGGCACAGGCCCAGGGGCCCAAAGTTACAGGGACCCCCCCTCATCTGCAAAATGCCACTCAAATCACCAACCAGGAAGAGACTCAGAATTTCCATAAGGTCACAAAAGGACCACAAAGAATAATAATAAGAATACTTTATTGTCACCGTTAACATTGTCAGACAATATCACTGTGAAAATCAGTTTAGCAGCTCCTATTTGGCAGTAGTACAAAAAAATAGTATAAAATAAAAATAACACTGTAACAGTATGAAAATAAAATAACATAACAATATAAGCAGAATATATACAAAAGAAACAATATGAACAATATAAATAACATAAATACAGAATGAAATAGTACTTTGTGCAGATATTATTAAGGTGCAGGAGGTTGTGGAAATCAAAGGGTTGTGTGCACATTGCACTCAATATTTTAGTGTGGTTCCACTGTCAGGCCCTGTTTAGACAACAACAGTTTCTCTAAAAATGGAAAAATCTGTCCTTTGCGTTTTAAAAAACTTTTGCGTTTATATGACGACGTTATTGAAATGATCCCCGTTCACACGGAGCCGCAAAATCTACTGGAAACGCTGTAGCATGCACGCCAGGCCAATAGGTGGCAGTGTAAATTTGCAAAGCAACACCACAGCATGACGC